CCCTGTCCTCCCTCCTTCAGCCCACCCCACCCTTGCCCTCCCCCCAGCCCACCCCCCATTCCCATCTCCTCCAGGGTTTTACCATGGAATATTTTGTTTACTCCGTCTATGGTGATTGAGAGTTTTGCTGGGTATAATAGTCTTGGTTGGCATCCGTGGTCTCTTAGTGTCTGCATAACATTTGTCCAGGACCTTCTAGCTTTCATAGTCTCCATTGAGAAGTCTGGTGTTATTCTGATGGGTCTGCCTTTATATGTTACTTGGCCTTTTTCCTTTGCGGCTCTTAATATTTTTTCTTTATTCTGTATGTTTAGTGGTTTGATTATTATGTGGCAAGGGGCCTTTTTTTGGGGGGGGATCCAGTCTATTTGGTGTTCTGTAAGCTTCTTGTATCTTCATAGGTATTTCTTTCTTTAGGTTGGGAAAGTTTTCTTCCATGATTTTGTTGAATCTATTTTCTGTGCCTTTGAGTTGGTATTCTTCTCCTTCTTCTATCCCTATTATTCTTAGGTTTGGTCTTTTCATGGTGTCCCAAATTTCCTGGATGTTTTGTGTTATGACTTTTTTGGCTTTAGTGTTTTCTTTGATTGACAAATCTATTTTTTCTATTGTGTCTTCAACATCAGAGATTTTCTTTTCCATCTCTTGCATTCTGTTGGTTATGCTTGCGTCTGTAGTTCCTGTTCGTTTAGTCAGATTTTCTGTTTCCAGCATTCCCTCAGTTTGTGTCTTCTTTATTGTCTCCATTTCAGTTTTTAAATCTTAAATTGTTTCTTTCATCTGTTTAATTGCTTTTTCTTGGCTTTCTTTGATTGATTCCAATTTTTGTTTGTTTTTCTTCCATTTCTTTAAGGGAATTTTTCATTTCCTCTTTAAGGGAGTTTTTCATTTCCTGTTTAAGGGCCTCTATCATCTTCTTAAAGTCATTTTTAGGATTCACTTCTTTTGCTTCTTCTGATTTGGTATGCTCAGGTCTTGCAGGTGTAGAACCACTAGGTTCTGATGGTGTCATATAGGTCTTTATGTTGTTGCCTGTATTTTTGCGCTGGTGTCTACTCATCTCTTCCTCCACTTGGTGCAGCTGGTGTCTGTGTCTGAGGGTGCCTGTCTTGTTCCAATTGGTAGTCTTGGTCCACTGGGAGTTATTGGTCAAATCAGTGCTGATGGGCTATGTTTCTCCAGGAGCAGCTTAGTCCAATCAGTGTTAGTGGGTTCTGCCTCAGGGAGCAGCTGTTCCCAATCTGTGCAGGGTGGGCTTATGGCTCTGGTGGTTGTTGGTGTCTCATGGGATGGTTTTCTTGGTGAGGGGGCAGGGAAAGAGGCAGCTGTCCAGTCACTGGGGTTCCAGTGGCTGTTCCTAGTCGGTGCAGGGTGGGCTTATGACTTCTGTAGTTGTTGGGGTCACAGGGGCTGGTTTTCTTGGTAAGAGAGCAGAGAAAGGCAGCTGCCGGGTCCCTCGGGCTCCAATGGCCGGGGGACTAGGGGCTAGAGACTTGGTCTGCTGGTCTGGAGATAGGCCCTTATCTATTCTCCGGTCACACACTGCTTGCTCGCCAACTCCTCACCTGATCTTGTTTCCTCAGACTGCAGGCTTCTGAGACCTCTCCAGAATGGATCTCAGCTAAACAGGTTGATCAGTAGGGCAGTCTCACCACCGCCTCCAAGTTGTTAGGCTTTGCATGATCAGCAGCTGGACCCTGGGCTGGCCTTAGGCAGAATGCCTTATTTTTGTTTTTTGAAACAGGGTTTCCTTCTGTAAATCTTACTCTTACTCCATGGCTTGCTGTGTAGCTGGGTGTCTGGCCCCTGGAGTCCTCCTCTTTCTTTGGCTGATTCCTCCTTGCACTCCTCCATCTCTTTTCTTCCTAAAATTGCTGAGTGTGGTCAGGTGGTGGTGGCTCACTCCTTTAATTCCAGCACTTGGGAGGCAGAGGCAGGTGGATCTCTGTGAATTTGAGGCCAGCCTGGTCTACAGAGTGAGTTCTGGGATAGTCAGGACTACACAGAGAGACCCTGTGTCAAAAACCCACACCCCCCCCAAAAAAAAAGAAAGAAAGAAAGAAAGAAAGAAAGAAAGAAAGAAAGAAAGAAAGAAAGAAAAAGATGAGATTGGTAGGACACACTGAAAGGACTCTGGCTGCCTTGAGCATGGTGAGCATGGCTCTGGCAGACCTTGCCAGTCTCTCCCATTCCTTCTTCTTCTTCTTTTTTTTTTTTGGTCACCCCCCCTCCCCCGGAACTCACTTTGTAGCCCAGGCTGGCCTAAAACTCACAGAGATCCGCCTGCGTCTGCCTCCTGAATGCTGGGATTAAAAGCGTGCGCCACCACCGCCCGGCCCATTCCTTCTTATTTGCTAATCATTAGATTATATTCCTATATTTAACCACCAAGGTCTATTCCCTTATTTGTCCACTTCTTCCTCCTGTGGCTGATACTAAGTTCCAGCCACAAAGTATTAAAGTCTAGCAATCGAAAGCCCCCTTTGGTTTTCCTAATTAACATGCCCAAACAAAATACATCACCACATCCTAGCCCATTCTAACACACATCTCCCCTTTTTCTCTTCTTAAAAATCACACCTGCAAAGTCAATTTGCTGCTGTTTTTCTGCCTGAGTCAGAAAGTAGCCACTTAACTTTTCTTCCACTATTGGTAAAGGATCTCTCTGTGAAAATAGTATTTTGGGTGTGGTTTGTGCCTAATCCAGGGCCTGGGAGGGAACCCCCATTCTGGAAGGGGTCTCCTCCATACACCTATACTTAAAACATTTAGGGAGGTAGATTTGAGGGGATCTCAAATTCATGACTAACCTGTGATACAAAGGTTGTGTCTCAAAAAGGAAAAAAAATAAAATGGTAAATTCTGTTATGTATCTCCTATCACAATGAAGAAAAAAGTTTATACTTTTGACAGGTTATTCTCTAGAAAGTAAATTCACACTTCCTTGCACTAGCAGAGATCATGTTTACTCTTATTTATTCATTTAGAGATGGCTGATCTCAAATACACTCCAAAGTTAAGGGATAGCCTTGAACTTCTGACCTTCTTGCCTATTCTCCGACTAGTTGCTGGGATTACAGGTGTTTTACCATGCCCAGTTAGGTTATATGCTGCACAAGTATGTCAGACAAGCACTATACCTGGGCTTCATCCCCAGCCCCATGTCCAACAACTTAAAGATGTTGTTAAACCTGAGAATCTTCTAGGAGAAAAATCCACGATTGTCCAATTAAAGCAGTCTATACTTTGGGGTGCACCAGGGACTGGCCATCCTGCTGTCTCACCCTAAATTGAGATTTGAGAGAGCAGCCCTTTTATGGGAAAGATAAGGTGCTCACCAGGGTGAGAGAATTAACTGTTACATATTTTGTTTGTTGGTTTTTTTCGAGACAGGGTTTCTCTGTGTTGTTTTGGTGCAGGGATGGGCCTGCCTCTGCCTCCTGAGTGCTGGGATTAAAGGTGTGCGCCACCAACGCCACCAATGCCCGGCTGCTGTTATACATTGTTAGAAAGCAACAAAGAAAAGGAGGAGGGAACAAGGGTAATGGGGTTCACCCGTGAATAGAGTTGTAATGGTGTAGCTGGAGAATTTTTTTCCAGCTCCCACCACCAAGTCCCGCCAGTCCCGGAGCCCACTTATAAAATAAACACACAGACTCTTACATTATTTAAACTGCTTGGCCATTAGCTCAGGCCTATCATAGTCTAGCTCTCACTCTTATATTCAGCCCATTTCTATTAATCTTTACTTTGCCACGTGGCTCGTGGCTTACCGGTACTTTACATCTTCCTTGTCCAGGCAGTGGCTCCAGCTGGTCTCCCTTTTCTTCCTCCTTCCTCAATTCTCCTCTCTCCTTGTCCCGCCTATACTTCCTGCCTGGTCACTGGCCAATCAGTGCTTTATTTATATAGAGTGATATCCACAGCACAATGGGAGTGAAGGGGGTTGCAGACAGTTTACATAAGAAACAGGAATTTATTTTACAAATAGAAATTTTAACTTTCAAGGACTTAACACATGACAAACAGGAACTTATGCTCCCCCCCCCCCCACACACACACACAAAGTTACTCAGGGCTATCCTGGAACTCGCTTTGTAGACCAGGCTGGCCTTGAACTCAGCCTGCCTCTGCCTCCCAAGTGCTGGAACTAAAGGCATACGCCACTCTAGCTGGCTAAACAGAAACTTAATTAAAAATATGAACATTGACCAGCAGTGATGGTGCACACCTTTAGTCTTGTCACTCAGGAGGCAGAGGCAGGCAGTGCATTTGAGGCCTGCCTAGTGTACAGAGCTAGTTCCAGGCCAGCCAAAGCTGTTACAGAGAAATTCTGTCTCAAAAAATTATTTAAAAAAAGAAGGAAGAAGAGAGACAGAGAGAGAGAGAGAGAGAGAGAGAGAGAGAGAGAGAGAGAGAGAGAGAAACTTGAACTTGCAAGGACTTAACATAGGACAAAGAGGAACTGATTCATAACTGTCTAACTGCAAACAGAACCCTTAACCTGCAAAGTATATTTTCCGTTTTGTACTTCCATTAACTTGTAAGGTATATTGTTCCTGGTTTGGTCTCACAATGTCTAATCGACTGAATACACAGCATCGTAAGTTCTCAACAGATCCAGACCGAGGTGGGTAGCTGCGGAGTAAACGTGATAAAGTCCTTTTATTCCAAATCCCGACTCTATAAATGAAACTTTAAGCACTGCCTCTGTGGTTTTCTGCATGAGCGTGAAAGTAAGATTTATTGTGGTGCATACGGGGCAGTAAGAGAGAATTATTTTAATGTCTGACCAAAGATAGCTCATCTAAACACAGGAACAAGCTCCAGGAGGCACACTTTGTGCAAAAACACCTCCCCACCCTCAGGCTGTGACTGCGGTGCTCCAACCAGACGAAAAGTGGGCGGGCCGCACTAGTGCGCATGCGGCGCACCATTCCCTGGAGCGGCCGCTCTAGGCAGTGGGGAGGTCGTCTGGGGTTGAGTCTGCGCCTCCCCTCTATGGTCTAGGGACAGCGCATGGTCAGCCTGCAGACCTGGGTTATTTCCGGAAGCGAAGCCGGCTGCTTTCCCTCTGCTTCCGCAGGGCTCGGAGTGGGTCCCGGGACTAGTGGCGAGGTGAGCACCGTGGGGATGGTAACGGGGCAGCAAGGCGCTTGGCTCGAGATGGAACGAACCCGCTCCTCGAGCCGCACCGTCAGGGTGAGGCCCAGGCTCGCGGGCCTTCCCTCACCCGGGCCTGGGCGCTACAAGCGTCCCTGCCGGCCTTTTGCCAGCGTCGGGGTCTGGGTCCGAGCCATTCGCTCCCGGGGGTGGCAGACAAGGGGGTCTTGATTCCACACACCTGCGCCTTAGGGTGCCCGCCACGCCCGCTAGATCCGAAGCCTTCCTGTCCCAAGGCAGACAGTTCATAATGAGAACGCAGAAAAGGGAACATCGAACTCCAAAGTCACACTGGGTTGACCTAGAGCTTCGCTTTTCTCATTGCTGTACTCACGACTCAGAAATGTTATAGAAAGGGTGCGTGTGTGTTTGAAAGAGATGATTTTTGTTTGTTTGTTTGTTTTTCGAGACAAGGTCTCTCTGTGGGAAGTCCTGGCTGTCCTGAAACGCTCTCTGTAGACCCAGGCTGGCCTCGAACTCACAGAGATCCGCCGGCCTCTGCTTCCCGAGTGCTGGGATTAAAGGCGTGCACCACCACCGCCCGGCCGAGACGATGCATCTAACTGGGGATCTCTAGTTGGGTAAGGGGTGAACCCCTAACTTTGGTAGAAAAGAGAAAGTAAGTGAAAGCCTTATTATGCCCGCAGCTGTTGCCCATGGGTCGTCCCCGCGGAAGCCCATTGGTTCGTCCTTGGGGTAGCCCCAACCTCACACCAGAGAGGCCAATACGAAGTTTTCCTCTGTCTTTAGACACACCCCAGACCCAGTAAGGACTGCACGTGCCTTAATGCAGTTTTGTTTGTTCTTGTTACTGCTATTTTGTAAACAGCCTGGATGTGTCTTGACCCAAGTGCTCCGTATGTGCCTGGGTTTATCTTTCACAAACCTGATGGGAAAATCGTACTCTTGGGCTGTTTAGACCCCCTCCCCCTCTTTTTTTCCCTCCAGCATTCAGATGTATGCTAACAACACTAGCCACCATTCAGTAAAATTCGGCTATTAGTAATCTCATTAATATCAACCACTCATCCAGCAAACTTTTTACCTAGCTGTGGACACAGTTTGGCATCTATTTCCAACAATCCTCTAACGTTGATACTAGTGTGGACTGGTAAATGGGAAATAATGAGGCTCAAGGAGAACAAAGCTGACCCGGTTGGGGGCCTAGGTTAGCCTCACTCTGAAGACTTATTTTGGTTTGTTTCTTATAGGGTGGGTGGGGTGGGGTGGCTGTTTTGGGGGTTTGGTTTTTGTTTTTGTTTTGAGACAGGGTTTCTGTATGTAGTCCTGGTTGCCCAGGAACTCAGATCAGGCTGGCCTTGAACTCAGGGAAATCCATCAGAGGCAGGGATTTAAATCCCTTCGGATTGCAGGGATTAAAAGCACATGCCATCATGCCTGGCTTGTTTTTGACATAGGGTCCTTGTAGTCCAGGCTGGCCAAAAATAACTCTTGGACTTTGATTTTCCTGGCTTTCTGAATCCGGTAACAGGAAATACAGAAGGGAAAATGAAACTCTAAATTGACACTGGTGATAGAATTTCCCTCTTTTGATTCCCAATCTCATGACTTAAAAATCTGGATTTAGGCAAATGGCAGTTTTCCCTGAGTGCTGAGATAAGTGTGTGCCACCATGCCCAGTTTATACACAGCTAATGATAGAACCTAGTAAGCAAGCAAGCAGTCTGCCAAATAGTCCAGGAGATTAGGTGACACAGAGAAGCCTTACACAGCTGCATAGAGGATCTGTTCACTTGGAGTGGATTAATCATCAAAGACATTTGGATCTTGTTAGTGGATACTTTTGACTTAGAAATCTTAACTGGGAGTGTAATGATCCACATAAGATAGTTATTGACAGCCATGTTGATTAAGTCAATTAAAAATTTTAAGTTCTTTTTAAATGATGGCGATACCAAGAGTGGGTTTGTGCCTCTGAAAAATGTCTTGGTGTCAAAGCTCAGGGATAGAGGTTTTTAAAGGCACAAACCACAAAGACCGTAATTTGCATCAAAGGCCAGAGTAACCTTAAATGTTCATTCCTGGCAGAGCATAGTAGTTATTTTAGACATAACCTCAAAAGTGTTGCCAAGGCAGATGTGACCACTAGGGTAAGGGAACAGAGGGCTGAGAACAAACAAAATACAGTCAAGACAGGATGGTGTACCTTAGTCATTTCAGGAGTATATGAAAAATAAAGCACTCAAGGAGCAGAAGTTTGTAAGTGGGACTACATTGTGCTCTGTGAACAGAAGCTTAATAATAGAAGTAACATTGTCATGTGTGCTAGGAACTATTCTGAGTTGTCTTGTAATAGCCCCTTAGGCTGTATTGTTATTAGCTCCATTTTACAGGTAAGGTAAAGAAAGGTAAATGATTTGCCTGAGATCATGCAGCTAATGGTTGAGCTAAGTAAGATTTAACTTACTCATTCTGTCTCTAGTGTTCGTGCTGTAAGTGAAAATATTAGTTTGACAGCCAGACTTGGTGGTTTAACAAGCCAAGGCCTGGTGACACAGACTTTAATCCCAGCTACTTGGTAGACTGAGGCAGTAAGATTGCAAGTTCAAAGCCTTAGTTATGTGGATTAGGGCTGAAGGCCACAGCCTCTGTAGTAGAGTGTCTGTTTAGAGTCTACAAAATTCTGGTTTCAGGTTCTAGCACTAGAAAAGTTAGTTTACTGTGCGGCCATGCAGATTCTTAAATGAATATCTCCCATCTGGGTTTTAATTTTTTTTTGTAGTAGGGAATGTTTTGTTTTGAGACAGTTTTATGTATCACTGGCTTGGCTTGAACTAAGGATGACCTTGAATACCTTGTTCTCCTGCCTTCAACACTCATTTGCTGTTGTTATAGGCTTGTGACATCAGATCCAGGTTAGTGGGGAAAGTTTTGAGCAAAGGAGGAATTTGATGGAAATTTTGCTCTAAGGAGATAATTCAATCATTGAAAAAGAGAGATTCACAAAAAGAATAGGAAGTGGTATATAAGTTTCACTTCAGCCATACGTAGTCTAAGACATATTTAGGCATTTACATGTAGATTACATGTAGTCCTAAACTTCCAGGCTCATGATAGCAATCTTGTGAAGCAATCTTGTGAAGCACTTGTTTCAAATACGTAGGTCCAGATCCATGGATTGCATATCTACAAATTCAATAGCAGGTAAGGAAAAGAATTTTTAAGTTAACTTTTGGAATGGAGAATATAGTGTATCTAGCATGTACAATGGTCCTGAGTTCAATCCCTGTCCCTGCCAGAAAAATCCAGAAAGTTCCAAATTACAAAATTTGAACTTGCCACATGCTAAGCACTACACTGAATCCAGAGGAATGAAGCATGTACATCCTGAGATAGCTTCCTGCCATTTCGCGGATCCTCAGTCTCTGCAGCACTATGGGCATTGTTTACCTGGCATTTTGCTCTTGTGTACTTTGTAGTCAGGCCTACTGTGGTTGCTCGTGTACTGGACTTGTGTAAGAGATGACTAAGAGAGACAGGCAGTGGTGGTGCACGCCTTTAATCCCAGTGCTCAGGAGGCAGAGGCAGGTGAATCTACAGAGCAAGTTGCAGTACAGCAAAGGCTACAGAAAAACACCGTCTTGAAAAAACAACAACAACAAAGAACTAAGAAATATAGAATACAGTGCATAGGCCACATGTAAACACTGTCCTTGCCCAAAAGGATTTGCAGACTCAGGTTCTGGTACCTCTGGGAAGTCCTGGAGCAGATACCAAAGGAGGACTATGTACTCCTGCCTTGTTCTCATACATCTAGTTCAAGTTCACCAAGTTTCCCATGGGATTCTAATGAAGGTATTAAGAGCTACATTAATAAAGAGTCAGATATTTGTTGCTTCAATTTTCATCTGCAAATATCTAGAGCCCCATTTTATAGCTATTCTGTGATATAATAGGCTTGACTGTGGCTATTTCTGGAATTTCTGGAATTCAGGGAGCCCAGGATATGGAGAGACCAAAAAAAAAAAAAAAATGGCTGGAATATTATGTGCAAAGTATAGGAATGAGGTCAACAAGGGCATTTTACTCTTTAAGAGGTAGATGGGACTTATAAGAAGGCTGTTGTATGGGGGAGCAGGCTGCAGAACCAGGACTCTCCTGCAATTCTGCCCTTGCCAGGGTTAAGAGTGAAGATGGAATGGGTTTGGCATAAAGGAAAGAGGAAAGTCTTGAATCACAGGCTTGTTGTGTTTTTTTTATTTTTTTTTATTTTGGGGTTTGTTTGTGGGTTTTTTTTTTTTTTTTCAAAGACAGAATTTCTTTGTATAACACCCCTGGCTGTCCTAGAACTTAGTTTGTAGACCAGGCTGGCCTTGAGCTCACAGAGATCCTCCGGCCTCTATCTCCTGAGTGCTGGAATTAAAGATGTGTACCACTACGCCCAGCTAAATGTTGTTACTATAACCAGCACAGTATTAGGCACTTTGGGAGACTGCTGGTGGAGAACAGGCCTATTTCTGATAGAGATCTCAGTAAACTGGGGAGAGTTGGGTTTACAGATTGATTTGACTTGAAGTATTGTTATAGACAGGTGCCTTTTGGCACATTTTTAAAATGTTTTATACATCTATAAGGTGTGCACTGACCTTTCAGAGGTTGTAAGAAGCCTATTGTTCCCACAAAAAACATTGCAAGGCAGTTTATACTTGACTTTTACTCACCAGCACATACCAACCAGACCTCTAACTACTCCTGTGGCAGCCTGCGTGTCAGCATCCTGGAACCTCAAGCCATCAATCCACACTGAAGCCCATATCTTCTAGAGTCCAGCCTATCTAGGGTGCAGGTGAATTTTGAGGCCTATGTCTCAGTGCCCATCAAAGGACTGTTAGGACTGTGTTGGTGAACTTGTGACCAGCCCAACCATCCATGCTTCACATCCCTGTTATCCTTGGTCACCGTCCAAGATCACTGTACAGAAGAGATGAGATATG